TCTCTGATCACACCCTTAACTTTCTTCCAACAAGGATTTCTTTTTATGTGCGTGTGTGTGTATTTAATAATGATAAAGCACTTGCATGTCATATTTGACAGGAGGCCTTTTTTTCCCCTCCAAGTTTAAAGCACCAGTGGGAAATAATTAGTGCTGCTGGAGTCAAAAACAAAGGGGCCCCATCAGAAAAGACAGTCTCCAAAGCCCTCGGATCCTAATTGAACAATTACCTCTTAAGCCTGTGAATAGTTCATTATCACATGCCCTGTTATTATTAGCTGTTATTATTGTTTTAGATGAATGCTGGGATTTTTTTTTTAATCAAAAGCCATTTTCAACCAAACTATTCCTGCCCCCCGTGCATGCCCCCGTTCCCCAGTGCAGTGTGTCGCCATCAGCAGTCTGTCTCAGTGCCTCGCCCAGATTTGCTCCAGGCCTCTGTTCGTCCTGTTACTTTTTGACTCCTTGGCGAAAGCGTTTACACGCAAGTCAAGTGCCTCCCATCTTTAATTTGTAGGAATCCAAAGTCATCAAAGAGAGAGCTCTTTGTTCATCCCAGGCTCTGAGATAGAAGCAAAGGAGAGGGGTGAGGGAGCCAGAAGGTGCCTGCGTGGCAGGAACAGTTCAATGCTCTGCTACCAGCTGAAAGGCTGGCGGATCTCACAGGAGCCTGGGAAGAAAGGCCTGGCCATCTCCTTCCAAAAAAGACCAACCATTGAAAACACTGTGGAGCACAGCTCTACTCACATGGGGTCATCATGAGTCAGAACTGACAACAGTGGGGCCAGGAGAAGGGCTAGCAGGGGCTGTGGGGCAGGCAGCCATTCAGGCAGTAGAGCCGAAACCTAAGAGGAAGTGGAGGTTCGAGGGGCAGGAGGCTGGGGCAGGAGGGGCCAGCCTGGGAGTGTTTCGTTCTTGGAAAGAATCATGGAAAGGATAAGGCAAATGAGCAGGGATAAGGCAGGGACTTCGTGCTAGGACTGGGCAGGGTTTTTGGCATTCATCTCTGGAACCGTGGGCAGAACCTGCGTGTTTGGGCCTCCTGGCAGCCATGGCCTCCCCGGTCTCCTTCACACAGCCATGAGCTTCCCTGAGCCCACCACTGGGACTATGTCCCTTAGTAGGTATGGGTGTGTGCACCGTCATGGGAACCAGTGTGGACCATGAGACGCAGGGGGAAGTTGGCTGTGGGTGGGGTGGGGTTCTGGGGAAAATTTGTTACACCATAATGTAGTGGACTGAATAGTGTTCCCCCAAAATCCATGTCCACCCAGAACTTCCAGTGTGACCTTATTTGGAAAATGGATCTTTGCTAATGTAATTAGTTAAGAATGTAGGTGAAGTTGTACTGGATTAGGGTGAGTCCTGAATCCCAGGACTGTCTCTTATAAGAAGACACAGAAACACAGAGGTGATGGGAAGATGGAGGCAGAGATGTCACAGATTGTCACAAGCCACCAGAAGCTGAGAAGAGGCACAGAGGTATCTTCCCTAGAGCCTTCAGAGGGAGTGTGGCCCTGGTCACACCGTGACTTCAGACTTCTACTTCCT